AATCCTATGTAATTCTAAGTTTTTATTGATAAATATTTTTCACATAATGTTGAAAAACCAGTGGATGTTTGTTAGAACCATATTTTTCACATAATGTAGAACAACCAGTGTGCCACTTGTTTATCAAAACTGTACACGGCCGCAGGTGGTAAACTCATGACCCATTGACTGATAAAAGGTGACCGTTTTACGCAGCTGTTGTAATTCACGTTGCACATACATCACATTAGGGATGTATAATATAAAGGATCTTGTATCTTCGTGTTCATGGGCCATTTTCTAAGTGTTATCTGGCGAATGTACTTTTCTAATGCACAAAGATCGAACGACAGAGGAAAAGGAACGAGGGTTTACACCCACAAGGAATTAATATCTTCCGATATTCACTGATCAATATGAACTGACAATAAGTACACTTTATACTGTGATCGAAGTAATTACTAACTTTAAATTGATCGGTAGCGTTCTGTTCTCGTGTTTCATCTCGTCATTTGCATACAACATACAGTCTTACTGAAGTTGTAGCAGAATGAGCGCCATCTTTAAGTTGCAGAATTTCTGGAAAAGTGACAGACAAGAAGGAAGACAGCTAGTCAACACCCCTCACCGCCAACTCTTGGGCTACTCTTTAACAACGAATAGTGAGACTTACAGTTACATTATAACGTACCTATTGAAATGATCGGCATGGCAGTGGGTTTCGATCCCGCAGATTGCGATTCGAGCGCCCTAACCACCAGGCTATGCCAGACCATGGAAAAAGTAACAATATACGTTTTTTATGGTTACAAATATCACGTGTATGTATCACATACACACACACACATATATAAATACGATAATTTTAAACAGAAAATATACATAAACCACGATGATGTTGTGTGTGTTCTGTTCCCACGGTTTTCAACTGAAAAAGACTATGGTTTAAAAACAATGTTGTAACCAAGAAAGGTAATTGAACTTAAAGTGATTTAGGTTACAGGTACACGAATCTCAACCAACACGAGATATACTGAGAATCTGGGTGTTAAGCCTAAAAGCAGAACAATGACCTTTCGTCACTGTTTTGCTATCGCATATTTCACAGCAGACATTGGTAACTGACCTTAACAGAATATGTTGGTGAGTTGAGTTGGTGACCAGGTTTTCCATTTCTCCAAAAAACAAATGTCACGCCCTCTAGGGGTAGAATTAATTCAACACACTTCTGTGTCTGCCCCTAATGTTAAAGTGATGTAATAAAACACTCGGTGATCATATTACCTGCACGATCATGCATTAAACATTATTGTTCTATAGATACAGTTGTAACATAATACTTGTTATGAGTTTTTCATGAACACAAAGTAATAACAATATATTCTAATGGGCTAAATTAATAACACAAAATATTCAACAAAACAGAAAAAAACATAAAACATTCGTGTTTCTCTTTCGTTAATGTGAACCGGGTTCTAACAAACTTCCACTGGTTGGTTGTTCAACATTATGTGAAAAATATGGTTCTAACAAACTTCCACTGGTTGTTCAACATTATGTGAAAAATATGGTTGTAACAAACTTCCACTGGTTGGTTGTTCAACATTATGTGAAAAATATAGATGTAACAAACTTCTACTGGTTGGTTGTTCAACATTATGTGAAAAATATGGTTCTAACAAACTTCCACTGGTTGTTCAACATTATGTGAAAAATATGGTTGTAACAAACTTCCACTGGTTGGTTGTTCAACATTATGTGAAAAATATGGATGTAACAAACTTCCACTGGTTGTTCAAC